CTCTGTTGCTTCTTTCGAAGCTAGGGGATGTGGTTCTGCCTTAGTTTTATGACTAAGGTCAGAATCCTCGTTTATAACATCTGTACTAGATGTTGCATTTTTCCCCTCATCAGAGGTTTTTGGTAACTTCTTCGACATGAGAAGTCCTACGGCTTCTTGGATGAGGACATCCAACGGGTTTGCACAAAATTTGCACACCCATGGAGATGACGGCTTGCTGCTTCTCCTATAGGCTGATGGTGATAAGCCAGTGCAAACTTTATGGAACCATAGGTTGCAGTTATCACACTGCATCCCATCCTCCACCGGAAAGTGGCAGTCCGGTCGTCCACAACTATTTGTGGGATTCATGCTAGTATAAGCTGCTTAAGTTACACACAAATATGTATATATATATTTACCTAAATACAGAGATATAAAAACACAAAAAGTCACAAAAGTGCACAAAAATAGACACTACTTTAACTAATTAAACCAGTTAAAGTAAACCAAAAAGCTTCTGATGCGATTTACACAACAAAAGCAGAAGTTACTTCACAACGTAAAAAATGCCACTCTCTTTCGAAGCGCGCGCGCGGGGTCCCTCTTGGAGTCTACCAGAACTAAAGCAGTCGAGTGGCGGGATTTACTACGCATAAGTTCACCGAAGATCTGGAACCTCTACCTTACAATCAAGAAGCGAGCTCAAAGAAATCACTGGTTTATACTAGGTCGTAATCAGGATATTGGATTGGATATTGGATATTGGAAGGTACTCAGGAAATGGGAATTCCCATCAATCCAGATAACATATATCACAAGCTTACTAAAACTTATTGACAAAAAAAATTCCAAGCGAAATTTTAACAGAACCTGAAATATAAGTCCAGCCTACTCAGTATGTTGAACAATCTCATAAACTAGGCGGGTTGATTTGGACGTAGGTCGGTAAATGACCTTGATGAGACCTTCAAGTTGGAATGAAAGACAGTGAGGGAGGGTTCTGCTTTCGAACACCTCTCCCAGTATCTGGATCACAGGACGGAACATCGTTTTGTTCTGAAGCGAAACGACCTAGATTGTGGTAAAGCTAATTAGATAATCTTGCTAAACATACTTTAGTCATACATCATCACGTGTTTCAAGTGTTTACAATCGTATTTTCGATCGGAATATTAATAGCGCAAATAAAGATAACGAAAGTCATTCAGCGTCGAACGGGTCTTTCTTTGGAAGCCTGGTAGGTTACTTTACTATAGCCTACATTTTAGTGTGGTGTACTGTTTACTTATTAGGTGAATTGGCTTAGTCACATGGGCTCCACACACATGTGTTATATGTTTTCATACCACATATATTGTCCACACCTTTTAACAGTGAGGCCCATTCATCGCTCCGATAGGTTTTTTGTCACAGTTAAATTTCAGGTGGTGTAAATGAAGAGTAGTTGCTATCTATGCTTGCATGTGTGCAAAGTACTCATCTTATTGCTGACATGGTTTGATAAAATCATTCCGAAGCCAGTCTGAATTTCTGTCGAATTACTGGTTACTAAATCCATACTGTATGTTAATGTTTCTATCTGGGGACTTCCAATCAAGTGGCTTATTCAACCGCAGTACTGTAATTACCTACAACAGTAATACTTAATACCATTATATGTGTATCTGTTAACATAAAGTATGTATAAGGGGAAATGGTTGCCAGCCTTTGCGTTTCTGTAGAAAGTTGTGTATCATGTGTCGATTGTCTTAATTGAATGCCCCTTCCCCCACTACTAGCGTTTTGTATACTCTTATGTCACTGACACATTGACTTATTTAGTTGTTCGCAAGTATTGTTTCGTCTGGTAGTCTTAGACGTCAAGTTAACAGGTAGCCAGTCAACGAATTTCTACCCAGGTGGATGTCCTTTTTCTTGTCGGTTGTATAGTGGCAAATAGTTTCTTCTCTTAGGCTTTCCTAAATACCTTTCTTTTCCGAAACTCAATATTTGCAGATATACTGATTAGGGCTAGAAGGCTTGAGGCCTATGCTTGTTCAGATGGTCCCCAAGCGAAACCTGTACAGTCTCTTATTGAGCTTTCACTTAACTACCCGTTTCAGACTTGTGATAACACCTTATAAGGTCATTCACGTTTCTAGTTTTGTCTCTGAGTTCTTGTGGTTTCGGTGTATCACTGCCATTAGGAAAAAAAACATTGATGCACTTTTCGTGATAATACTATATTAGTACTTGTGTTTCTTGATGTTTGCTGACTACGTGTCACTTATCAGGTGAAGTAGGTGGGACTATATCGAGCTACAGAAGGCGGCATTTACGTAGGTATGCAGAATATTTTCCTCGAATTTACAGTGTTTCCCACGTTTTCGTTTCCATTTTTCCGACAAGTATAACTCACAAAATTATAAAGGATTTTAAGTTGAGGACAAACTTTCTTCTTTCTTGTTCCAACGAAGATAACAAACGACAAGGTTCTCGGGACTCTTTCAGCAAAAGTTCACTATGCTTTGCATGTGTCCCGATAGTTAACAGTGTCTCTTAACGTATGCATGGATAGTGAACTGTCGGAAACTTTACCTGTCCGGGTGAAAACGTAACATCAATATACACATAAGAGAGGACTTCTGTGAGACACTCAGCTGTCTGTTGGCGGATGTGCTTTTCAAAAGTCCAGCCTCTCACATTTCATGTCTGAAGGGCCGTTGAAAGCTGGAAGAAATAAGGTTACAAATCCCTGACCATAAATATTTTCCCATCTTGTAATGAAACCGCTGAATGAGTAGTGTTGAAGTTGTAAGTTATTATCTGACTGGGGATGCCTTGGCCTCTAATCAACTTGGTTGAGGTATAGAATACATGTCCAGAGCTTTTATTCTTGCAAACGACATATTTTCATTGAAAAAACTGATTTACTACGAAGTTGGAATTGGTTTTAATTTGCGAAGTTTTTGACTACTAGTATGTGATTGGGAACTACCGGCGTAGACCAATCCACTTCCTGTCATCGAAATTCTGTACATCACTGAACTTCATTGAGTCCTTCCTTTTGTATTCATATTAATCCATTATAATATTTTTGCGTGTTATCTTCTTTTGGGTTTGACAAATTGATGTAATGCACATGGTTTACCGTTGGGTTCCTTGAAAAGTTAGGAATCGATGGTTAGTGTAGGTATTATAGCTCGAAATCAATTATAACACAAATATTCTTCTTTCCTATCCTTCTTGTTCTAACACTTCTCCATTTATTTAATTTTTGTTTGACATCATTCCTATGTGTAATGTACTTCTTTCTGAGCTTCTGCGCTTACACTGTTTGTTTAACTATCGAAACGGTCATTTAGTCTTACTGTGTATCGTAGTATTTTACTTTGACCTTGGTCCTGTTTGTTTGTTCAGTGTTTATTTATCTCATTCTTTTTTCTGTTAAGGGATAACCGTATGTAGGTTGCTTGTTGCGTGGATGAATGTCTTTCTCTCGTTATTTTTCTTCACCCTATACAGCCGTATAGTTACCGTTAACAAACGACAAGGTTCTCGGGACTCTTCCAGCAAAAGTTCACTATGCTTTGTATGTGTTCCGATAGTTAGCAGTGTCTCTTAATGTACGGATGCCTGGTGAACTGTCGCAAACTCTACCTGTCAGGGTGAAAATGTAACCTCAGCATACACATGAGAAGGCTTCTTTGCGCCTCATTTAGGCTCTGTGAGACACTCAGTTACCTATTAGGAAATGTGCGTTTCAAAAGTTCAGTCTCTCACATGTCATGTTTGAAGCGCTGCTGTAAGCTGGAAGAAATAAGGTTACAAATCCCTGACCATAAATATTTTCCTTTCTTGTAGGGAAACCGCTGAACGAGTAGTGTTTTTGTGAATTGTTATGTGACTGGGGATGTATCCGAAGCTTTTACTCACGCAAACGACAGATTTTAAGTGAAAAACTGATTTACTAGGAAGTTGGAAATAGTTTTAATTTGTGGAGTTTCTGACTGCTAGTGTGTTATTAGGTAAAGAGGATTGAAAACTACCGGCGTAGGCTTTTCCGCTTCTTGTCATCGAAATTCTGTACACCGCTGAACTTCATTTAGTCTTTACCTTCTAGGTCATATCAATCTATTATAATACTTTTGCGTGTTATTTCCTTTTTGGGTTTGGTGATATCATATCTGACAAACTGAAACGATGCACAAGGTTTACTGTTGGGTTCCTCCAATTGTTAGGAATTTATAGCTATTGGAGCTCGAAATCAATAGCACTAGCGCCATTATATTTACTCAGTTATAACACAAATATTCTACTTCCCTATCCTTCTTGTTTCAACATTCGTCGGTTTATTTTATTTTTGTTTGACATCATTCCTACGTGTGATGTACTTCTTTCTGAGCTTCTGCGTTTATACTGTTGGTTTAACTATCGAAACGGTCGTTTAGTTTTATTGTGTATCGTAGTGCTTTACTTGGGCCTTGGTCCTGTTTGTTATGGGCCAACCATATGTAGGTAGGTTGCTTATTGCATGGATGAATGTCTTTCCCTCGTTATTTTTCTCCACTTTATCTATACAGCTTTAATGATATTACGACAATTGACTTTTGCCTTATAGTTACCGTTTGCCGGTTTTAAATCACCAATTCATCCTGGTGATGTTTGTCACTACTTTCTTCAAAGTTTACTACCAAATAATCGTACACAAGCTTTGAAAATGAAACAGTCAGCCGTGTTCAGCTCCACACCGTTAAATGGAAATGTAAAGCCTTCTTTAAAAAATGGTCACATTCCTTCTCAAAGGCTAATGTATCAACGACTGTTAGATAAAGCATCATTTCCTCGGACTCCTTGTGTTAAACGGTCAAGCAGTCTCAGAGAAACAATCACTATAGATTTGGACGATGAGAATAAAAGTCAGCGTTTTTCGCTATTACGAAGGTAAGTGATTATGATGTCTTTATTGTCCATTTCTTTCTCGATGGAGAATTGCAAATTATGTCGCCATAATAATAAGCGTTAGAAATGCGCTTTCTATTTTTATTCCCTACTGATGATTGCTTTGGTTCACGGTGCTTATACATGATCTGTACTCAGTTTAGTGAAATCTTTACCTACCTAGGTAGTTTGTGATTCATGTACACACTAATAAATACATAATCTTGTATAATTTGATTAAGTTGTAGATTTAGTGATTACTGACTGTATCAGAGGATTATGAGGGTAATTATTAATTTGTCAGTGTCTTCTCACTAGTAAAATTTACTGACGATTTCAGTTTTAACTGATTAAAAATGCCCATTAAAGTTTACAAAAGAATGGATACTGAACAAAGGATACTCTTTTCGATAACCCCTTCATCATCAGGCTCTACAGTTATATATACATGCATAATAGTGAATGAATGAATTAGTGTTATGAACAACATTGATATTGTGTAAATAACATGGAATCAATAATAATATCAATGGATTACAGTTCAACAGCATCAACATAAAATAAGCTGAATGTCAGAAAAATTAGGAAAGATAATATTACAAATTCATGAACTTATGGTCTCTACTGAAGGCCAGGGCAGTAGTAGGGGCTGGACTTGTTTCTTTTACACACAGAGCACTGGTTGTTTGAGGCGAATTGAAATAGCTTCTGCTGTTTGGAGGATGTGGTGCTTTGATGTTTTTGGCAATTTATTAGGCACCCGGTAGATGATACTTTGAGTGAAACAAACCTCCTGGCCTTCAGTAGAGACTATAAATTCACGAATTTGTAATATTATCTTTCCTAATTTTTCTGACATTCAGCTTATTTTATGTTGATGCTGTTGAACTGTAATCCATTGATATTATTGATTCGATGTTATTTAAACAGCATTAATGTTGTTCATAACACTAGTTCATTCATTCACTATTATGCATGTATATATAACTGTAGAGCCTGATGATGAAGGGGTTATCGAAAAGAGTATTCTATGTTCAGTAACCATTCTTTTGTAGATTTCAGTTTTTAAAATCAGATCTGTGACATATATCAGTGGATATACTGAAATATTTGAATTTGAAGGTTATCGGCAGATGACCAATGGATTAACGTAGAACTTAGTACAAAATTGCATTGAGTGACGGTCAAAATTCCTGATGGACTCCACTGGCTGTTATCCCTGTACATGAAAACTCTCCACTAGATCTTGAATAACTGTATGAATTCGAGTAAATTGTCTTTAATAGTACAGTTTACTTCCTCAGTCCGTCTTGCACACAACCAAGTATTGCCATAACACCTCGGGATTGGCAATATTGAGTGGCACCTTCAAATCATGAAACGTTGCAGGTATTTATTAGAACAAAATCTGCAAGAGTTGATCAGCGTTATCGGTTCTTCGGTATGTAACTTTATGGATATCCTCGGTGTAACATACCGGACCTGTATTATTACTGGTCGTGACAGGAGATAAAGTTTGAGAAAATGGTAGGAAGATAAGTGGAGGGTACGCGATGATCAGAGAAAACTGTGTGTTGACAAAAGCCTATAAACATTCGATACTTCTTGGACACCCAGAATAGAATTTGATTCGTAGAATATTTGAAAAAAAAGAAAGTTTAGTTTAGGATGACCGAAGACCCGAGGAGACAACTGTTCGAGACAGATCATGGCCTGTTTGGAAGTTGAATTAGTGGAATTTCGTTCTCACGGAAGATATTAGTGCCAGATACAGAGCTGTACGGCTTTCGAGAACAACCTTCTCAAATTGGTTGACTTCGTGCCCCTATCCACCAGCAGTACCTACTTCTCTCTCAGAACCTCCATTCCATTGTAAGCAGCTAACACTGGGATGGTAGTCAAACCACAGTCCAACAGCAATTATTCCAGCCGGGATGGATGGGTCAAGTCACTACAAGATACAATCCCTTTCTCCATGTCTGGTTAACAGCTATGTCTTTTTATAAAGTAGGTAAGTTCTGAAAAAGCATCTCTTATTGCTCAAATTGTTTCTGAGATGACCTATTTGTCAATCTGTCGAAATGGAGAGTGATTGAAGTTATTTAGAGACTTTGCGCCCTGATGTATTTGCGACCTTTAGATTATTATTATTCCCTTGGGTTCCTAGTGGAACATAGGGCTTCAACTACACTTCTGTACTTGCTTCTGTCTTCTGCTGTACTTTTCACCTGCATCCATGTTAGTCCATACTGTTTCAGCTCCTCTTCACACGATCTCTTCCATGTCACCCTTGGACGTCCCACTCGCCACTTCCCTTTCGGGTTCCACTCGAGGGCCTGAGGAGCGATGTCACCCAGCGGCCTCCTCAGCAAGTGTTCAATCCATCTCCACTTTCTCCTGCATATTTGTTGGGCTATTGGTTCTTGTTTTGTTTGTTCCCATAGTTTCTTGTTGGTGATTCCTTCCGGCCATCTGATCTTCAGTATAGAGCCAGCGAAGACAGTTGTTGATAAAGGTCTGCAACAGGCTTTTGGAAATATTCTTTGTGACCCGCCAAGTTTCTGATCCGTATGGCAAAAGTGACTTGACGTATGTATTGAAAATCCGAATTTTGTTGTTGGTGTTTAGTGACGAAGATTTCTAGATTGGTTTCAGGTTGATGAATGTGTTTGTCGCCTTCCCGATTCTCGATTTGACATCTTCGTCCGTTCCTCCTGTAGTTGAAACAATGCTCCCTGGATGATAAAATAGAAATATCTCCAATCCTGGAACTGAGGTAGTTCTGGTGGTTTTATTTGTCTTGTCCATATAACTCTTAAGGTTAGATGACACTAAATGACAGTAGAAATGTCTACCTTAACTACAAATCTTCGTCTTTTCAAAGTCCTTGACTGTATTCTCGTCCACATTTTGTATATTTAGATCATAACCCTTAACCTTCTCGTATATAGTGCATTCACCAATACATCATAAACAGGGTTGTCTAGGGACATTCAGCTAATACTATATACAAATTAACCTTGAACCTTCATTAAAGGCTTTTAACGACCTTAAATAATTTCCTTATAAGCATAGTAGGTGCACTTTAGATGCCAGTCTTATCTTATACCCTAATACTGTCTGTGATTTAGATAGAGGTGCCAAATGTTGTTCGGTGTGCCTTCCTTGATTACACACTTGCCTTTGACTCTATGCACCTAGGTCTCTTCTGTTAAACAAGCTTGCTGTGACACTAGCAGTGTGCTGCACTATTAAATGGTTACTTTTCCGACAGGAAGTAGTACACTGCATCACCTACTCTAGCTGGTGTTCCTTACTCAAGGAACTGTTCTTTCTCCTTTTCTGTCTTCTTTCTTCTCAAATGACTTGCCCCATTCTAACGAAGCCAATTTTGTTAAGTGTGCCGATGATCTGACTGTCTCTAGGCCCCTGGCTACTTCTCAGTCAGACTGTTCCAAAATTAATAACTTTTTAGCAATTATGCAATGGTCCTTGTCTAGTGGTCCTTAGCTGAATCCCTTCACAAGAGCGATTTACATCAACTGGTTGGTTCCAACGATTCTTGTATCATAGACTCCACTGAAGTTAAAACTTAAGTCAAATATTAAGTACGTGGGATTGCGTATTTCCTCTGATCACCTTTCCTGATCTTCCCACAGCCTGTTAATTTCTAGAAAGAAATTTAGTTTGACTTTCTACATAAGGAAGTTAAGACGATCTGGTATCATTCCGTCTCTACTGTTACCGTTTGTTAATTTTTGTATTCTGCCTATGCTTCTTTACTGCTCCATACCGTTTAATCTTTCCTGGGCTACTTAAGGAAGACTTTGTCACACTGCGAAGGATGCTAAAAGCCGGTAGTAGGGTAGGTGGGGTTTTGCTAAACCAACTCATTAATACTGTTGTAGGTACACTCATGGACTCATGCAAGAGATTGGCGAATATCATCTTGCCGGACCCTGAGCATACTCTTTACACACAACCCTCGTCAGGTAGAACTGGAAGCAAGTACAGAAGACTAAATGCTTGGACGACTAAGTATAAAAGAACTCTACAATGCCTTATTTGACTCACACATTTTAAGTGGTGAGGAAAGTGTAGGGTGGGACACTGCCAACGTACTCCGAAACACTAATTAACAAGGCTAAATTTTTTCTCCTTTTTTCATTATTATGCTGTCGTTTAAGTATTTTCGCTTAATTTTATACTCATATTCTTATTAAACAATGTTATCAATATAAATGCCCTGTTTTAATCATTACTCCTGTAATAAGAAAAGTAGATGCCATACTGTACTACTACTACTACATATTCACACCAAAATTACTGTTTCGGACCTCTGTGATGAGTGCGTACTGTTGATGCGTCCCAAACTAGGCTGACGAAACAGCTGGCTGTCCAGTACTCCCTTGTGGCGGTGGTTTTCCAATGGTTCTCTAACTGATGTCAGTCAGCTCATGATGGAATCCTCCAACCAAATAAAGCTGTTATCATTATTAAGTCTGTCACAGACCTTATTAGTGCTTTTCAAGTTATATCGATTTATTGATTTGCTTCACTTTCTGCGTAGTCATCATCCCTTATAGAGGGTATGATTCATTTGTCTCAACAGACAATTTGTAACTAATAAGGAGTCGATTGTTAACTACTTTTCATTACATTCTTTCCCACCCCCACCTACCGGTTATTTATTGTTTCATTTGCAGATGTAATCTCTCTCCAGTTCTTGCAAATAACAATAATAATAAACTCCAGTCGTCAGTTGAACAAGCTGGTAAGTTCTCGTGAAAGCTTATTAGTATTGATTTTGTTATTTAATCATGTCTATTTTCTCACCAGGTTCAGCTTCTCATGCATATGTATGTGTTGTTTGCATCGGTGGTACAGCGGTAGAGTGCTTGCCAACCACGCCTGACATGGTCCAGGGTTCGATCCCTGGCCGGTCGGTAATAAGACCGGTAGAGAGGGAAGGTTGAGCGTGAGGCTAGCAATCCTACCCCGTCAAAGTAAACACCACTGCTGCCAAAACTTCAAACCTCTCTATAGCTTGAAGGTGCCCTATGTTCCATTGGGAACGTAAAGAAATGTTATACTGCTGGTTTAAAAAGCCTAAGTAGATTATTTCTCATCAGTAGTGCGTCACAGATTCGAATAACATTTAACAACTGGAGTCATAACTGTTCTTATACAACAGATGTGCCTCATCCCACTCACTGTACGTTAATCTATTGACAGTTGTTTTTTTAGGTTGATGCGTGTGTGTACAAAAAAAATGATGGTTAGGAGAAAGGCTTGTACGCTTTTGAACCTTTGATGAAAGGACGTGTGTGTGTATGTGCACTGCGTAGCAATTGACTTTTTCCTTCTGTATGCTTGTGAAATGTGTCCATTGAAAGTGGATGATATGAAGAAACTAACTGGCTGGTGGCTAGCTGTCTTTTGACCAGAGATGTTTGCATTCTATCTCCTGTCTTAAGAGGTATAATGTGGTGAGTAATAATAGTGAGGTTAGGCGTGTACAGTATTAGGTGTAAGGAGGGAAAGTTAGCCAATCGATGAGGTTGTGAAGTTAAATCGATTTTGATAGTTTAGAACACGTGTTACACATTCTGAGCCACCGCCCTCCTCGATGAGCAATGTTAGCAGACATTAGAAGAGATTAGATTTGAAAAGAGTTAAGCTTATTATTATTATTTCCTTTAGTTCCTGGAGGAACATAGGGCTTCAGCCGAACGTCTCCATTGAGTTCGATTCTCCACTAACGTTTTCACCTAGCTACACATCTTCCCACATGCATCCATCTCCTCTTCGCATAACCTCCTCCTCCATGTCACCCTCGCAATGACCACCAACTCACCGGTTCTCATTCGGGTTCCACTTGAGCGATGGCTTGGCGTGTGATGTCACTCACTTGATGGTTTGTTTTCTCAGAGTATGGCCAATCCACCTCCATTTCTTCCTGCATATTTGTTGCACAATTAGTTCCTGCTGGGTTGGTTCGCTCATTGCCAGAGATCCCTCCCTGTTGCTGGTCTTTTCTGGCCGGCCATCTGATCTTGAGTAGTATTGAGCAAATACAGCTGTTGATGAAGGTAGGTATATAGTTCGAAGTTGTTCGAAGTGCCCTCCGTGACGTGGCTAGGCGTGGCGCCAAGTGTCTGCTCCGTATAGTAAGTAGCAATGACTTCACATTGGATTTGAAAATCCGGATCTTATTTTTCATCCTGAATGCTGAGCAAACGAGTTATGCTTAGCGAAACCAAAACCTTGTATCATCAGTTCATGCAGTATTTGACAATTGGTTTGAGTCACGTAGGAAAGTGTAGACTGCCTGGTTGGGATCCTTAGGATGCTAATAATCTCAATGAGCCGAGAATATTGTCGATATGGATCGGAATCGTTCTCAGTATTACGGTGCATAAACATTCATTCTTTGCCATCTCTCATATGCATTAAACGCTCCTGTTTTACCTTGTTACTATTCCTTCTCCCTCACATTTCTGCTTAGTATTGTTCTCTTGAATCCCTTTTTCCCCTTTCTTTTGTCTCTGGTTTTGTGTGCTATGTAGAGGAGAGAGTGTGACAACTCGAACTGCTGTACTTCTGTACAAAATTCTATTACTGAAGCCAGTTAGTGTACAAGTGGAGAGGTTTAGTTTGCATTATCCTGTCATTTATAAGATAACTAGTAAGTGCTTCTTTTATAAAATGCTAGTTTTGTTTGTTCTCCTCGATAGTTACTTTGCTTCGTCAACATCTTCTTAAGGAAAAATAAACACTACAATATGAAGGTCTAGTGAGCTCAAGCTTTCTAAAGATCACCCTGTCAGATCGCACAAGCAGCCGACATATCAACCTAAGGCCGAGTACTTTGGTCGTTCACTCAGTCAACTTGGAAGCCCAAATTGGCATAAATAATAACTGATACCTGTTGCACAAGAGGTGGTCGCTCTTGTGGCCTCCTAAGTGGCCTAGTGGCGTTTGTAACTATGGGTACTGGGTTTGAGCCTCAGTTGGAACGGACCACTATCATTCAATTACTGGAGACTGCAGGTACATCCAGATGATAAATGAACCTATATGGGACCAATTGCGCATTTTGGCTGGATTCCTGTCTGTCTGTCTGTTTTCAACATAAAACTTTGCACTGATGTGCAGAAGTTCAAGTCGCCACACTCCATGCAGCATACAAAGGAGGAGAAGAAAGTAAAAGAAATGCGTTATAGAGATATTAGACAGGGATATGAGACGAAAGGAATAGTAATAACAACGAACAGTATAGTTACACTGAAAGTTGTAAATCACAAGGAGTGGATGCATCTGCGCCAGCCATTGAGAACGATTTTGAGCCATATCACCAATTGTCTCAAGCTTTCATTGCTTTTTACCATCCCGAGGACCCCAACCAGGAAGTCTACGCCTTCCTACGTGGCTGGCTTAAAGTAACTGTTGTGGACTTCATTGACTGGTGCCATGTTTTGGTTTTCCCACCACTGGTTCTTTTCCAACCTGATCCTATGTCAGCTAACATTGCCCGCTGTCGAGGCAGGCGATAGCTAGGCCTGCATACATAACACATGTCCTAACCGTCTCAATCGATGTAACTTCACAGCCTCGTCGATCGATTTCCCCTCCCACTTACCTAGCACTCGACGCCTAACTAACTCAGTATTGCTCACTCTATTATACTACTTCACACGGGAGATAGAAAGCTAAGAAAGAAAGCTAGCTAGCCTTTTCATGTCTTCCGCCCTCAATGACCATGTCTCACAGTCACAAAGGAAGACGGAGCGGACTTCTGAGCAGTGCACACACCCTTTGCTCGAAAGCCGGATATCACGTCTACTAAGCTAGAGATGGCGCAAACTGGCATATGCGGAACTAGCCTTCTGTATCCATGCTGAGATTTCGTGGGTGATCAACCCGTTGGGGCTGATGCAACTGGGCTGGATTTCACTCCTAATGGCACTATCCATCAACTTACTTCGATTTAAATAATGTTCGTCGCATATATTTCTTGCTGACGAGTGCAAACATGCACGAAACTTAGGTCCAGTGTAACCTACCAACCACCTCCAGCCAAATGAAATCAGTTCACAGTGACTGCACTGAGAGATGGTGAGCCACCTAGCTGGCCGGCGGGGGGGGGCGCAAACTATACTTGGTGGCAGAATTGTCAACAGAAACACTAGAGACTAGACTAACCACTAATCAATTTTAAGATGTTTACTTTCAGTACGAAATTTTCTTCTGTTTTAAGTATTGGTTTTGTAGGTATTTTGACTGATTGGTTACAGGATTTCATCATGAGCTGACTGGCATCGGTTAGAGAACCCTTGGAAAACCAGCTGGGAGTACTGGACAACTAGCTATTTCGTCAGCCTAGTTTGGGGCTCTTCAGCAGCACGCACCCTTCACCAGAGTTCGAACCCCCAGGACCTTCTCGTTACAAGGCTAGTGAGCTCGTAGACCGTTAAGCCACTGAGAACCGATCCACTGGCCCATGGTTTACTTCACCTTAGCTATGTATTAGTGTGTAAAACTTAAGACGTTAAAGGGAGCTGTATGATACAAATATCAGGGTTTAAGAATGAATGATGTTTAACTGAATAAAATCGATGAAGTACGTCTTCTAGATCGTTAGTTAGTTAGTTCGAACTCCCTGGGTGTGCCGGGCTATGAGAATCATATTTATAGAACTCGATTTACGCAGGCAAATACATATTTTCGGTAAATTCTCATGAGACCTTGCACTCACATAATGAAATATTAGTCATAGTGAAACAGTAGAAGAGAAGAGAGACTTGGTAAAGGAATGTGTATTTGCAGTTTGGGATCTCTATATAGCCAAATTATATATACCTTATCTTTAACGCACCATTTACACAGAACTTCCGTGTTGTGTCTGCTACTTCTCGCCTTCCTTCATATTGTGTGTGTTTCACTATGTTCCTTCCACGTCTCTCATGTATCTCCACAACAACGTTGTATCATTTGCCTTCTCTGACATCAAATGTTATCTCCCTGCTATTTGATGGTTTTTATGTCGATGAACGTCTCTTTATATATATACTACTGATAAATCTTATCAGTAGTGCACACCACAATAGGCATTTAAATTATAATGTGATTCATACAGTATAGGATGTGAGAGTTCAAGGATGTGAATTAATCGATAACAATTGAGGTGATAGTACTAATAATCATAACAAGGATAAATCCATTCAGGTGTGTGTATATTACATAAGTAATGGTGACTGTATGACTGACTGGTTTCAACGTGGAACTTTGCAACGATGTGCAGTAGTTCCAGTCGCCACTCTCCCTGCATGTAGCACACAAAGCAAGAGAAGAAAGTAAAATGAAATGCAAAATAGAGACAGTAAACAGAAATATGAGGCAAAAGAAATAGTAATCTCGAAGAACTATATGGTTTTTTCGGGTATTATAAGTCACAAGGAGGGGATGCATCTGCACCAGCCATTGAGAAGGATTTTAAGCCATAGCACCGATAATTGTCTCCAGCTTTCATTGGTTTTTACCATCCCTAGGACCCCAACCAGGAAGTCTACACCTTCCTACGTGGCTGGCTTAAAGTAACTGTTGTGTATTTCATTGACTGATGAATCCATGTTTTGGTTTGATCACTACCGGCTCTTTTCCAACCTGACCCTATGTCAGCTAACATTGTCCAGTGTCGCGGAAGGCGATGGCTAAGCATGAGTAACATATGTCCTAACCATCTCAATCGGTGTAACTTCACAGTCTCGTCTGTTGATTTCCCCTCCTTCCATAGCACTCGACCGATGTCTAACCTCAATATTGCTCACCTTATTATACCACTTCACACGGGAGATAGAACACAGGCACCTATGATCAAAGACAGCTAGCCAGGCTTTTCATGTCTTCCACTCTCATTCTGCCTATACAGTCACCACTGTATAGGCAGAATGTGCATACTAGTAGGAGGGGTAGTGGGCACAATAACTATTGTCACATAACAATTAGATAATAATTATAAGAATGATAAATTGTGAAACTGAAATTAAAACGTACAGCCAGAGCACAGCGTGATATCAATAATACAGTTAGCACTACAAATAAAAATACGATGATAATAGTATTTACAATTATACGGTATCATTGGGAGAGTTAACTATTCTAGCTTGGGAGCGAAGGCCGCAGGGGGGGGGAAGGACAAAGATTAAACAAACTTTTTGTGAACACAGAGATTGGGTTGGAACTTTTTTTATGCCAACTGCCTCAGCAGCGCTTAGCAACCGAAGAATACCAACCTAGGAAGTTGTGGGGACACCTTGTGTAGAATTTGAAAAGCTGGATTATTTTTTATCAGTCTTGTGTTTCGTATCCACTAAGTGTGCCAGTATGGAACTTCTAATTGACTTTACAACTCCTCTTTCTAACCACGTTGGGCAGCTCTGTGGAAGGCGACGGTGGGCTTTCCGAGTCGTCTCTATAAGAGTAGTTAAATTTATAAATGCACATTGGCGGCAGCTTATCCTTCACCTGTGTTGGAATTAGGCAACGAGTGGTGAACTTTAAACTCAATGTCGCGACAAAGAGCCGTATTTATTCAGTGAGATGGCTTAGAGCTAGCGGTGGTCAAACGAAAACATGGCACCAGTCAATGAAATCCACAACAGTTACTTTAAGCCAGCCCACCACGTACGAAGGTGTAGACTTCCTGGTTGTGGTCCTCGGGGCGGTAAAAACCAATGAAGGCTGGAGACAATTATCGGTGCTATGGCTCAAAATCGTTCTCAATGGCTGGCGCAGATGCATCCACTCCTTGTGACTTACAACTTTCAATGAAACTATATTGTTCGTCGTTATTACTATTCCTTTGTCTCACACCTCTGTTTACTGTCTATGTTATGCATTTCTTCTACTTTCTTCTCTTGCTTTGTGTGCTCCATGGAGGGAGTGTGGCGACTTGAACTACCGCACATATGTGCAAAGTTCTACGTCGAAAACCGACCGACCGAGATGGCTTAGCATATTACTCATTTGTCCAAGCTGAATTAGTTGGGACGAAATTCGAATCCGAGATGCATCAGCGCTGGAAATCGAGTACTTAAGCCAGTTAGCCACATCTTCATCGACTGTTTTTTTGATCAAGGGGGTTACTACCTAGTTAACAAAATTTAGGCGTGTAAATGGAGCCAAGTTTGAACCCCATTACCCATTAGGTGAACAGTAAGTAGTAGCTAAATCAAACAAACTGGCTGAAGAGTCAGGTAGCGAAGACAGGATTGCAGGTGAACTTAGAGAAGACGGAGGTGATGAAGGTAACCAACGAACTGCAACAAGAAAAACCAGCACCAATCATCATCGACTGGAGGGATTTAACAGAGGTTACTTCCTTCACTCGTCTAGGAAGCCAGCATCGTCTCAACCACAGGGGAAACGGATGAAGATGTCAAAGCCAGTCAGAATCAGAAAGGCAAGATACGCCTTCATCAACGTGAAACCAGTTTGGAAATCTTCTACACTTATCACAAGAAACAACATTCACATTTTAAACAAAAATGTCAAGTTGGTCCTTCTATACAGGTCAGAAACTTGGCTTGTAACGAAGAGGATTTCCAACGGGTTGCAGACTTTTGTCAACAGTTGCCCTGTTCATTCTAAAGATCAAATGGCCAGAAGGAATTAGTAACCAAAAACTCTGGGAACTAACCAACAAGCAAGAGCCGATTGCTCAACAAATATGTAAGAGGATATGGAGATGGATCGGGCATACGCCACTGAGGAGGCCGTCGAATGATATCGCGCACAATGCAGACCATCTCTCTAGTGGAATCCCAATGGGAAGCGGCAACGAGTGGGGCGTCAGTGCGAGAGTGATATGGAGGTCGTGTGAGTTGGAGGAGGAGATGAGAGATTATGGACAATCGTGGAACTGGCCAGATGAAGAGGAGAGATGTATTGTTGTAGGCGTATGCTCCACTCGGAACCCAAGGGAACAATGAATAATATATAATAACATAATAAATCACTAAGTTCTCACTGTCACCTATTTTAAAAATCTATTCAGCCTTATAAAATTCTTGTTAAATGCTTTTTTGGGGATAACTTCAGAAGCTCATGATGGTGGGATTTTCACTGGTGGTGTCTTTTCTTCTTTTTATTACATTGTTGTTAAGCACCCTTAGCCTTTATTATATATATAGTTGAGTGACTTTTTATAAGTTTTCAATGACAAGCAAGGTCTTATGTTTTCAAACACATTATCTATTTCCTAAAAAAAAAACACATTGATTTTAGTGGTAGTCATATTCAATCTTCACTGCATACAGCATACACACACACACGTATCTTAAGCATCTGTTTTTCTGTTTAGTAGTAAATCTACAACATATTTGACCAATACTATAATTTCATGAAATATACTCATCCAGACATGAATTTAAGACAAAAACAGTTCAGCTAAGAGTCTCTTTTTTGTGAATTCATTCACACTTAGCTGTACAATCGCAATTATATATAATCGTTTTTTGTGCGTACATTGGGTTTGTCATACAAGGATAAAATTAGTTATATTATATTATTATTATTCCCTTGGGTTCCGAGTGGAACATAGGACTTCAACAATACATCTCCATTTTATTCTATTCTCTGCCGTCCTCTTCAGTTGGGTCTACGATTGTCCATAATCTCTCATCTCTTCCTCCAGCTCACACGATCTCCTTCATGTCACCCTCACTGTTGTGGATTTCAGTGGCTGGTGCCATCATGTTTTGATTTGACCACGACTAGCTGTGTTCCCGCATAATCCCATGTCAGCTGATGTTGTATGTCGAGGAAGGCGATGGCTAGTCAGTCGTGCGCATCACATTTCCAAGCCATCTCAATCGATGTAACTTCACAACTTCGTCGATTGATTAACTTCCTGTCCCTACCTAGAACTCAACTCCTAACCAAGCCAATATTATTCGCCTAATACAGGAGATAGAATGCATACGCCTATGATCAAAGACAGCTAGCTAGCTTTTCCATGTCTTCCACTGTCAATAGCCATGTCTCACTCACAGCCATAAAGGAGGGGGATGGAGCGAACTGCTGAGAAGTACACACGTCCTTTGGTCGATAGCCAGCCGGATATCATGTGAAGTTCGTAAATGCCAGAACGAGCCTTCTGTATCCGTGTTTGAGATTTCGTTAGCGATCGACCCACTGGTGTTGGCTGATGCAACTTCCCAAATAAGTGAAGTAGTCAGCGAGCTCAGCCACGATTTAACTGCCAATCTTTACACTAGCAGTCGGTGGGGTCCGGTCTTGCAGCATCATCTTATATCTGACAAGGGGAGCGAATCGCATGCCAATCATTCGAAGATTGCTGCTCCTCAAGGTGTTAAGAAGACTCTTCATTTTATCAGCGTCTTCACCTAGGAGGCAGGACTATATCCTCTGCATATTCTAAGTCAACAAGATTATTCCCCGGTGGTAACAAGTCAATCCCTGAATCGATGAAGTCAATGAGGGTTAATTCCATTAGTACATCTATGATAAAATTAAACAGAAATGGAGACAGTGAGCATCCCACCCTGATGGACACCACTGGTTGTCATCAATTCGGTTATTAAGTAACATTTCATTACAATTTCCAAATAGGAATAGACATTTTCACTAAAGATTTACATCGCAACTCCCATTTGCCACTTTTTCTTTTTTGCTAAACTCTTCTAGGTGTACATGATCGTACTGTAGTAGCAGCTGTCTCACCAGATACTAGTGATTCAGAAGTACGTGCATGGCTTGAAAGTTGTGGAGAGTCACCATATCTATCAGACAGTTGGCTTAAAAATTTAACTGCAAGTTATCGTGATAAAAAGAAGGAACGTGAACGTGACTATGAATTAGCTCAAGCGAATATACAATTTTGGGAGAAACAGGTAAGTGTCGTTTTTTGTTTTATATTAGTGTTGTGTTTTGTATAATTTACAATTTCAATGGTGATGTAAGTATAAAACTTGGGCATTGTGGTGGCAGAGTATAACTCCATTATGGATAAGATTTTATTTTGATAAAGTCACACAGTGTAGTGTATTTAAGCCACTGGGGCCACGTTTTCCCTTTAAGTGAGGAGAGGTGGGGGGGGGGTAAGAGTATGCAAACTCAGTTATGCTAGTTCTCCCCTACTTTTACTAAAGGGGAATCTGGTGAAATTAACCGGTTGGACAAGCTGTGACTATCATTTGTCAAAAGCTGTAATAGACTCTATTTGAACAAGGTTATTTTTAGTCACAGTATTGATAGACTGTATGCCATTATTATTTAGTTAACTATTATTTACTTTCACACACACACATGCTGGGCATTACGTAAGTAACTTCTTCTCAATAAGGTTAGATGGTGATATTAACTGACCGTTCAGAATTTTGTTCTGTTCGGACTGGCGATTGGTTGAAAGATCAATGCCCAGATCAACAGGTGCCAACTGCTGTGATGTTAGTACCATTCGACTGTTCACATTATTGCCATTATTTGAAAATATTTAATGTCTTTCATACATAACGTAAAGTTGCCGAGTTTTTCTTTGTATGTGAACCGCATAATCGCTAAGCTTCTAACTGATACCGGACATACAGTCGAAGCCAGTCTAGCCTTCAGTTCTTGGGGTACCTGAGATAGAAAGAGGGTTAGTGTTATGTGACCGCAGAGCCCAGGGGACAACTACTTGATGCTGGTCACACATGGTCTGTATAAACTGGCTTCTTGGATTGGTTACGTATTAGTAACCTACAGCCCCGGTTACGGACCACCGTGGGGTAAATAGAGATGTACAATTTTTGGAGTTGATCATTTCTAACCCCCCTCTCTAGAGTGGAGAGACAGCATAGCTGACTGGCATGCTGTTACATCCCTGTTCCGCAACAGTATGACTTTGCCCACAGATCCCCGACATAGTGTAAAAAAAACTTACACAATGCCGGTAACTGCTTTTAGTCTAATCGCTATCATAACAATCTTCCTGGTATAGTAGGAGCTGCAGGAATATTAGTTCCAGTCAGTGTAGCTTGTTGGGTCATTGTGATGCGCAAGCCTGACCACCAGGTCAAGGTAGTAGCTATCGGAAAACCGTCCGAATAATCCGGATATAGAGAAAACCCTGTCTGACTTCTCTCTGCTGAAATCATGGCTCTCAAATAAAGCCAGGAGCTGAGAGCTACACTACACTTAGTGTCTGGGGGCTTATGATACTGCTCAGTTGCCCAGACCTAAGTAGATGTAGCGGTACTTGAACCCGTTACCATCGAATGCTTAAGCCAATCATACAATTTTCCACAAAGCTGAGTGTAGTCACTAGATACACAATCCTTTTTATTAAAAAATAACGCATCATTATTGAAAAGTTTAATTTCATAATTAGTGCCGTTTCACTTGTCCACTTTCTTTTTCTTGTAGCGTAATTTAGCTGAAAAAGAGCGTATTGACAATCTTGAACAAAGACTTGCTTGTTTGTTAAGAACTCCACCTATCCTTGAAGATCCGTATTTAGTCCCCCAACCTATTCCTATTGAATTACCATACAAACCCCTCAAAGTTAAAGAACCTAAAGTACCTAGTCTACCAGGTGAGCATTCAATTTGTATGCTGCTTTCTGTGTGTGTGTGTGTGTGCGTGCGTGGGTACGCATGTATGTATGAACGTGTGTAATATGCATCTGTGTAGTTTTTATGTTTGTATTGATCCAATTGGTGTCAGGTTACTGCCAACATCTTATTTTTCTAGTTTGTTAAGATGCTATATATATATATATATATATATATATATATATATATATATATATATCATGAGCTAACATAGGTTAGAGAACCACTGGAAAGCCACCATGGAGTACTGAACAGCCAGCTGTTTCGTCAGCCTGGTTTTGGACTCTTCAGCAGTACACACCCACCACAGGGGTTCGAACCTAGGACCTTCTCGTTACAAGGTGAGCTAGCTCATAGACCATTAAGCCACTGCGACCCGATCCAATGGCCAGCCAGTGCATGAATTCTAACTTCTGCCAATTCATGAGACATAGCGCGACCACTTCGCAATGTCTTCTTCGGTGGTGAGTTACTGCCTCACCTTCAACCTGCTGTACCCTAATGGTCACGGCTTCCCACTAGAACCCCCGCAAGTAACTACCTACCTGAATAAGACCAGTCGCTAATGAGCATCTCATTGATATATTCAAGTATTGGTTAATAGGAATTTGATTGATTGGTTGCAGGATTTCATCATGAGTTGACATCAGTGGTGAATTGGCAGAAGTTGGAATTCATGAACTGGCCACTGGATCGGGCCCTTGTGGCTTAATGGTCTATGAGCTCGCTAGCCTTGTAACTGGGTCCTGTGTTCAAGTCCCTCCAGTGGATGCGTACTTATGAAGAGTCCCATATTAGGTTAACGAAACAGCTGTCCCATACTCCCTTGTGGTTTTTTTAATGATTCTCTAATGGACGTCAGCTCATGATGAAATCCTGTGACCAATATATATAAACATATATCGGTTGTTGTTATGGGGTGGGTGAGGCAGCTAGTCTAATTTCTTTGCAATTTTCCCTCTTTTTGAAGCTTACATCCGGCTAGTTTAGGTTTAATGAGTGTGTCGGCTGGGGATCGAATTTTGATCACGTGCGTCGTTGGTAAGCATTCTACTGTTGAACCGCTAGCGATCTATATTTGGTTATTGGTATTAGTAATTTGATTCTACTTCACGTTAACACATAATTCTAAGCCAGGATACTGGAATCGAGTTTTTAGGATCCTGTTTTTTTAAAAAAAGTTACCTCTTGTCCATCGCTTTAAGCATACTGTAGTTAGTATGGTAGTAGATTTGAGTAGCTATCAGACAGAAAGTCACTTGTTTACTTTTTCCTGACGGATAAATAGTAATAATAATAGATATGGCACTTAATCACTAAGATGTTGAGTTTTATATTCAAAGGGCTTTTTCTGCTGTTGCGTAATCGATGAACAGTTAAACCAAACAAGGAAAACCAAGAGACGGTCGCATCGAAGGAAAATATCTCGGTGAAGTCCACCAACTAATGCTCTACATTTGTAAATACACGTAAGATTAGGTAGTGAAAGTACCAGAGGTCACAATGTATCCAATAACGAGATAAAGTTGTGTATTAAGGAAAATGGAATGGTTATGATGACCATGACTGAGATAAAGGTTGAATATACTTCTTTTGGATACTTAGTATTAGCTTCAGCTATGCTCCAGATATATTGATCTCTCACTCTCTTAAAGAGGTTGGATCGGATCTTATATTATAAGACTTTGAAGAATTTTTCAAGTGAACCTTATTATCATGAGTTCACAAGGTGTTCAGTTTTTCTAACTAAAGACACTCTTCCGTTCCTTCTTGGGTTAGCCAAACCATGTAGTGTTTACGAGCACGGCTCCTTCACTGTACTATATAGAGGACTAACAGCAGTCTTTGAATTGGAACCCAGTGGCTTTGAATGGTCAACGGACTGGCATTGATTATAGCCCTGAGACTCCGGAGTTTGACCCCCAATGCTGAAGAGTCCCGAGTTAGGGCAAAACATTTATCCAGTACTGCCTCGTGGTTTTCAATGATTCTCTAATTAATATCGATTAGTGACGAAATCTACATAGAAATTAGTGAAACCGAAATGTGCTATGTACAGTTATTACTAGCAAAGGACACTGTTACAAGTTGTCGCGTTTTTCCCTTTTTTGAATGACGTACATGAATTAGGCCTGACCTCCCCCTCCTGCTTCACACTTTTAATTTTAATTTTTTGTTTCTTTTTCTTCTAGTTTTAACTGCACCTCAACTAGCTGAGGTTGAAGCAGCTCTTCGTACCGGCTCTCCAGATCAGGTGTTAGCAGATAAATTCAGACTGGTTGTTACACGTCGTGAATTAATGACGTTAAGTGGTACAAATTGGTTAAGTGATATGGTTAGTTTACCAATTTGTTTTTTGTTTGTTTTGTGATGTTTATGTGTATAGGCGTTTTAATGTGTACTGTCGTAAAATATTCCCTTTTTGCTCATAATTTATGCCTAAATTAATAATCGATAGTATATCGATTGACAGGTGTTCACTTGACCTTTATTTTAAATACAAAATTGGTACATTACAGACACCAAAAGGATGCACTACACAAATGAAATTACCTCAGTGTTCGTGTGACTGCTGTCAGTCTGACTGCCATCTAAACAATCTTCCTGACACATGGTAGGCTGTGCAGGAACATAAGTCCCAACCAGTGTGTGGCTTGTTGCATCACTGCGGTATTTAAGCCCAACCACCACAACAAGGTAGCGGTTGTCGGTTGGGTGTAATTAACTAACTGATCCGAGACTATCGGAGGTGGGTGGGGTGGGATTTCGCTCAGAAAAATGATTACAATGTATTATTATTATTGTTCCTTTGGGTTCCTAGTGGAACATAGGGCTTCAACTGCACGTTTCCACTTGCTTGTTTTCTACTGTGCTTTTCACTTGCATCCATGTTAGTCCATATTGTTTCAACTCCTCTTCACATGATCTCCTCCATCTGACCCACTCGCCGCTTCCCTTTCGAGTTCCACTCGAGTGTTGGCCTGACGCGCGATGTCACCCAACGGCCTCGTCAGCGAGTGTCCAATCCATCTCCACTTTCTCCTGCATATTTGTCGGGTGATTGGTTCTTGTTTTGTTTGTTCCCATAGTTTCTTGTTTGTGATTCTTTCCGGCGGCCATCTGATCTTCAGCATAGAGCGAAGACAGCTGTTGATAAAGGTCTGCAACAGGCTGTTGGGAATATTCTTTGTGACACACTGGCCAAGTTTCTGATCCGTATAGAAGAACTGACTGACTTGACGTTTGTATTGAAAATCCGAATTTTGTTGTTGATGCAGGCTGAGTGACGAAGATTTCCAGATTGGTTTCAGGTTGATGAATGTGTTTCTCGCCTTCCCGATCGATTCTCGATTTGACATCCTCGTCAGTTCCTCCTGTAGTTGAGACAATGCTCCCTAGATAAGTGAATGAAGTAACCTCTTTCAAATCCCTCCCCGTTGATGGTGATTGGCGTTGTATGTTGCTGCTGTTTTTGTTGTTGTTGGTTGGTTATTTTCATGACCTCCGTCTTGTCTATGTTCACTTGGAGTCCTGTCTTTGCTGCTTCTTCGACCAATTTGTCGGTTTTTGCTTGTAATTCTTCGATTTTGTGTGACATCAAATATAAAGCATCCGCGAAATCCAGGTCTTCTAGATTCTTCACGTCGGTCCAGGATATCCCTGTCTTCTCGTTTCCCACTGTCTGACGCATAATCCAGTCCACCACAATTAGGAATATCATTGGTGATAATAAGCACACTTGTCTGACTCCTGTGTTTACTCCAAACGCCTCGCTGAGTTTTCCGTTGTGGATCACTTGACATGTGCCGTTGTCGTACAGCTGTTGAATAAGGTTGATGAATATTTGGGGTACGCCGTAGTATTTGAGTAGTTTCTAAATTACTTCGCGGTCAACGGTGTCGAAGGCCTTCTCAAAGTCATATTTCTTTATTCGCTTTTCTGTTTTACACTTTTCTTTGTAAGATTCTAAAACTTTCGCATGCGCTAACTGGGCTTCATTTTCACCCACTTTATGTGCAAATCTTAAGGTGTTGTTCTGTAACTCGTATACGCATCCCTTACAATAGTATTTCGAGGCGAACTTTGACCTCTTTGCTTCTGGTAGTGTGTTTGCTTTCCATCTGTAATTTGTTGGTTGAAGAGCAGGTGTACTGCGCACGCTTACGTACTCTCATACACACACACCGACACCAACACACTCATATTCACCGATGTACACAAAGAAGCACAAAGTTACCCTGAGTCAAATTCACATTCACTCTCACACACACATGCACACACACACACACACTGCCCCTCTCAACACTTACACAACATCCAAGTCAAATGAACATGTGACAGTCTACACTGATTCCAACTGCATACAACATTTCACGTCGTCATTCCATATAACAAGCGAAAACACATCACTAGTCGTCGCCTCATCTCATATCATCACATTTCACTCGCTGGTTGGCTGAAGTGAACAGATCGAGCGAGGAGGTTCCATCGACAACCAAATGATTCGTTAAAATAACGAATTCATCGAATAAGGAATCGGTGGGTGAGTAAGTCTGTCTATGAGTCACTGTGTTTGACTGTCTGTGAGCAATTCGGTGGAGGGACTGATTTATCACCCAGCAGAATAGGTGCAACAGTTTGTCCCTGTTCTTTCAAATATGAAACTTATTCGTTGAAAGTGGAGGATGGGGAAGGGATTATTGGTCTTTCACTGAAGGTTAAACGTACATTTTTGGGTATGAGGGAAAAATGTGCCGGTCATGTTGGAAAGTTGTATCGAGTGAAATGTATCTAGGACATGTAATACACACGCCATACTCTCGCCCTCGGATGTTAGGAGTCAGTAGTTGTAGACTGTTGGTGACTTGACATGGCTCAAGATCATTCTGAGTTCCTCTGCATTCCTTTCTTCTTTGTATCTTTGTGTCTACTTTTATGAAGTGCTACACGCTGTGTGCAAAGTTCTAAGATGAAAAAATTCAGTTCTGTTCATTTTAAAACTCTGACTTTTATTTATTTGCTTATATTACAGGTAATCAATTTCTACTTGCAGTTACTGCAACATCGAAGTCAACGTCAAACAAATCTACCTCGTCTCGCTGTCCTATCAACATTTTTCTATGCAAAACTGACATCACCAAATGGTGGAGGTTATCCTGGTGTACGACGTTGGACTCGTCAAATGAAATTGTTTGATCAAGATATTGTACTTGTCCCTATTCACGATAGAGGCATGCATTGGTGTCTGTCTGTAAGTGAATTGAAGTGGCATTTTCGGGATCAGTTTGAACTGTCTACTGTATATATTGTATTGTATTATTCCCTTGGGTTCCTAGTGGAACATAGGGCTTCAACTACATACACGTCTCCACTTGCTTCTCTCTTCTGCTGTACTTTTCACCTGCGTCCATGTTAATCCATACTGTTTCAGCTCCTCTTCACACGATCTCCTCCATATCACCCTTGGACGTCCCACTCGCCGCTTCCCTTTAGGCTTCCCCTCGAGCGATGGCCTGACGTGCGATGTCAGCCAGCGGCCTCCTCAGCGGGTGTCCAATCCATCTCCTCTTTCTCTTGCATATTTGTTAGGCGATTGGTTCTTGTTTTGTTTGTTCCTATAGTTTCTTGTTGGTGATTCTTTCCGGCTATCTGATCTTGAGTATAGAACGAAGACAGCTGTTAATAAAGGTCTGCAACAGGCTGTTGGAAATATTCTTTGTGACACACTGGCCAAGTTTCTGATCCGTATAGAAGAACTGACTGACTTGACGTTTGTATTGAAAATCCGAATTTTGTTGTTGATGCAGGCTGAGTGACGAAGATTTCCAGATTGGTTTCAGGTTGATGAATGTGTTTCTCGCCTTCCCGATCGATTCTCGATTTGACATCCTCGTCAGTTCCTCCTGTAGTTGAGACAATGCTCCCTAGATAAGTGAATGAAGTAACCTCTTTCAAATCCCTCCCCCGGTTGATGGTGATTGGCGCTGGATGTTGCTGCTGTTGTTGTTGTTGTTGGTTGGTTATTTTCTTGTCTTGTCTATGTTCACCTGGAGTCCTGTCTTCTCTGGCTGCTTCTTCGACCAGTTTGTCGGTTTTCGCTTGTAAGTCTTCGATTTTGTGTGACATCAAACATAAATCATCCGCGAAATCCGGGTCTTCTAGATAAATAATAAATAATAATATTTTTAAAAATCAATGATTGTTTTGTTCATATTCGCCTATAGGTATAAACAATTTTATGACTGCCTCAAAATCAATCAAATCCATTCATTGTCACCTTCAGCTAATCGGAATCTACTGGCTTGGTGGAGATAGGATTTTGTATAAGTTTTCATTTGATATGAAGGCATGGCGTGCATGACCAGAGGAGTCCGTCACCCAGTCACGCTTGAAATCAGTTACATTTGCACGCTAGTGGCACTGCCTTTGAATGGTGGTGAGTTGACAACGCTTGGGTCAGTTGTCAACACTTTTAATCCTGATCCACTTGATGTGATCTGACGATGGTTCTCAGCTTGATACCGCATAGGTCATATGTTATAATGCTAGATCTTTTGTCACGAGGTTACTGCTTAACTAGTAACCAGTGCCCACTTAACTGGTAAAGCAGAACACGCGAGAATCAGCGGTAAAACCAGGTTCATTTATTATGACAAAAGTGACTGTATTTATACAGAAAATAAGGTAGATTGGAAATCAACCAATCCGGTTGAGAGTTGGAATTGTGCAAGCGTCCAATCAGAAGCAGGAACAATTGCATGTCAACGACTTGTTAATAACGCGATAATAACTTGACTGAGGCATGGTAATGACCTGATAATTGCATGTGTTTTGCCTCTTCCTAACATCATAGGTTTGGCGGATAAAGATAGGCGCTGACTGCTATCGCTGACTCTCAACTAGTTGATATCACTTCCCGGATGAAAATCACATGAGCATTTTAAAACTGCACTGTCAGAGTTATGAACAACCAGCTTATACAATTTATGGTTAAACTTCTGTCTAGTCTTTGTACTAATTTTGGAAGTAGAACAAACTATTAGAATGCGGTCAACATCTCTTCATGTATTGATCTGATCAAATATTTAGTAATATTTTGTCTTATATATATTATATGTGTGTATCTGTTTATAATGATAATAATTATTATTGTTTCGCTTATCGCATTGCTTTCAAGTGTATCGATTTACGCGCCAAAAGTATAACATACTATGATTCAATGGGTGGGGGAAATACAAAGTGCTTAAAACAGTTGATGTAAGTTTGTGTTGATGATGCTTTTTTCTATGTTCACACCTTTTCTGGTGTTATAATACTTATAGAATATTTCTAGTATTGATTTTATTTTTGTCGGGATTTTGTTTGATTGGTTGGAGGATTTCATCATGAGTTGACCTCAGGTAAACGTGTCTTCAACTAAAACTGTTCAGGGAAACTCCTATTTGAGTGCACCCTTCGACAGATTCTGGAACATAGACATACTTTCCGGCGTCCAACAATCGTCATATTTCTTGACCTAAAGGCGGCATTCGATTCTGTCGACCGAGAGGTATTATGGAGATGCTTGGTTGTAAAGGGAATGCAGTCACCGAGGTGAGAGTCGTCATCTGACATGATGACAACCAGTGGTGTCCGTCAGGGATGCCCGCTATCCCCATTTCTATTCAATTTCATCATAGATGCACTAGTGGACTTAACCCTAACTCAATTCGGAGACTCAGGGATTGACTTGTTACTGCCAGGGAGTAATCTCGTTGACTTAGAATATGTCGATGGTGATATAGTCCTTCTAGGTGAAGACTCGGACAAAATGAAGAGTCTTCTGAACACCTTGAGCTGCGCAGCAGTCTTCGAATGTTTGGCATGCGATTCGCTCCCCCTTGTCAAATGTAAGATGATACTACTGGACTGGACTACATTGACTCCAAGCTTAGGAATAGGCAGTGAAGTGGTAAAGCACGTTAACCACTTCACTTATTTGGGGAGTTGCATCAGTCGCAACGGGTTGATCGCTGACGAAATCTCAGCACGGGTACAAAAGGCTGGTTTCGCATATGCCAGTTTACGCCATCTCTATCTTAGTAGACGTGATATCCGGCAAAGGGCGTGTGTACTGCTCAGCAGTCCGCTCCGTCTTTCTTTATGCCTGTGAGACATGGTCATTGAGGGCGGAAGACATGAGAAGGTTAGCTAGCTTTCTTTGATCTTAGGTGCCTGCGTTCTATCTCTCGTGTGAAGTGGTATAGTAGGGTGAGCAATTTTGAGGTCGGGCTTCGATCGAGAGTTAGGTAGGTTGGAGGGGAAATCAATAGACGAGGCTGTGAAGCTACATTGACTGAGTGAGATGGTTAGGGCACGTGCCTAGCCATCGTCTTCCTTGACAACGGGCAGCGTTAGCTGACATAGAATGGATCAGGTTGGAAAAGAGCGCGTTGTGGTCAAACCAAAACATGGCGCAGATGTATCCACTCCTTGTGACTTATAATACCCAATAAAACTATTTTGTTCTTCGATATTACTATTCTTGCTGTTTAACTTCTAACGGTTAATTTGCAAATTACAGGTTTTGGTTATTTTTGTTTTATTTTTGAACTAATAACATGCTTGATATTCATTGTAACGTGATAGTACACATTTTGAAAAAATCAATAACAAGAAAACACTACACATGGTGTGGAGGATAAAACAGATAGATAGCTACATTTTTGTTTATTTCATCGGTATCAGGTCAGCTGTGCATATAACCTAAAATGATGAGATTTAATAGTCAGCTGTTAGTTCTACTACAGTTTCAACAATGCACTTAATCTGTTGATTGGACGCCAGTTAGTAACTAGTTTTGTCACACATCTGGTCCTTTGATTGGTGTAGACACTGAATTCTATTATCAGTCAAGTTTGTAATGTGGCCGCCATGCCACTAGTTGGCTCACCATCATGGTGCACTTTGAATTTTCTATAGTTTGGTTTGTAAGGGTTAGTTATGTTTTTACGAGTTGATCACAGATTGATATCAGTTAAAGAACCATTGAAAACCAGCAGGGAATACTGGACAGCTGTTTCATCCCATTTCGGGAATCATCGGCAGTACTCACCCACCTCCAGGGTTCGAACCCAGGGCCTTCCGGTTACAAGGCAAGCTAGCTCGTATACCATTCAGCCACTGGGACCCGATTCCTCAATGGCTAGTCCATGAATTCTAACTTCTACCAATTCGTTATTTAGCGCGACCCCAACCATTGTCGTTGGTGGGACATCCATCCACACACGTGACATCTAATTGGACCTCACTGGTCACGACTTCTCACTAGAACTCCAGGAAACTCCATCCTGTAGCAAGTCGCGCTACAGATATAAGACAGTTGGAGGCAATCGTCCACAGGAAGCCTCACCTGGCCTAGGTTTCGTGCTAGTTGGCACTCACCAGTCAGTCAACAAGGCGTATCTGCAACTGCCTTGAAGAGACTAATGCCCCCTCCCTTCTGAGATTCGAACCCACGTCACCCAGAGACGTTACCATTCATTTATTGGGAAATACAAAAACCTTTATTATTATAATGTGAATATAAATATAAATTCTCAAACTATTCTTTTTCTTTTGTTATTTCTTCAAGGGATTATTTAAAAAATGAGTCCTTAGACAAAAGAAATGTCGAACTCCCGGATTCAGACTCTTGGGAATTTATTAACACAGAGGTGAGTCATTTACACTTGCTTTTATATTATGTAATTTGTAATCATCAGTGTGCGGAGTGTTACTCAGTCCCATGATACATGTATTTATGTGTGTGTGTGTGGCATGATTGCATTACACTGTGTTGTTAAGTTTTTCTTTTTTAGACGGTTTTTCCGTCTTATTTGGTGGATGGTAACTGCCAGTAGAGTCCGGTATTCTCACTTCGTCCTATTTGATACTCATCATCTGGATGTATTTGCATTCCGCTGCGAGTGATAATTTTCCTCTACTGAGACTCGAACCCCAATAGCCTTCGTTCCAAACGTCAGTAGGCTATTCAGTAAACCACTTGAGGGACAATGGGGATAAAAAAATCATCAATTTTAATCCACAGGCATCGTGGAAGCGCGTCCCTACTAGAAGCCGAACATTTCAGTTAAATCAGTGAACTTATACAACAAAAATTGACTTAAACAAAATAAGTTTCTCCTAATATTCGGTAATTACTTCGCTACTACGAGGTGCCACCGACAATTATACATCTCATCCAACAGCTGTACGACAATGCTGTATGCCGAGGAATCCACAATGGGAAACTCACGGAATCCTTTGAAGTGAAGACGGGAGTAAGACAAGGCTGGCTGGCTGACTGCTATCTCCAATGATTTTCCTGATTGCGGTAGATTGGATAATGTGACAGACAGTGGTAGGCAACGAGGAGACAGGCATAAAATGCACCCACACAAAACACTTGGAGTATCTGGACTTCGCCGATGGTATATGTCTGATTTCCCACAAACTGGAATATCTGCAAGTGAAAAGTAACAAGTTGGCAAAAGAAGTATCCAGAGAAGATAGGACTTCAGGTGAACATAGAGAAAACAGAGGTAGGTGATGAAGATTCCTGGACAAGAACAACAACAGACAACAATCAGCATAAATGGCAGGAATCTGAAAGAAGCAACCTCCTTTACCTACCTGGGAAGCATCGTTTCAACTACAGGCAGACGGAACTGATGAGGATATCAAAGCAAGAATCGGAAAAGCAAGACAAGCTTTCACTACTCTCAAGTCTGTGTGGAGGTCAACAGCACTCAGCATGAGAAATAACATCCGGATTTTCAACTCCAATGTGAAGTCAGTGCTACTATACGGATCAGAGACTTGCACTGCGCGTCATAAAGAGCATCTCAAACAAACTACAGACCTTCATTAACAGCTGTCTTCGCTCAATATTCAAAATCAGATGGCCAGAAAAGATCAGCAACAGAGATCTCTGGCACTGAGCGAACCAACCAGGAACCGATTGTGACACAAATATGCAGGAAGAAATGGAGGTGGATTGGCCATACTCTGAGGAAACCATCAAGTGACATCACTAGACAAGCCATCGCTCGAGTGGAACCTGGCCGAATGGGAAGCGGCGAGTTGGTCGTCAGCGTGAGGGTGACTTGGAGGAGGTCATATGAAGAGGAGATGAAAACGTGTGGGCGGACAACAATTTGCCTCAATGTTCATGTCCCGAATCAGGGTCATGAGAAAAAAACAAACAATAACAATGTTAAATCTTGGGAAAATCGCCAGCCAATCACCGTCGAGTTAACATGTGAAAATCTGATTCACAGATATATGGCTTGATTTTTTGAGAAACGGCCACAAAGAGGTAACAGGATAACCACCTTCAGCAAGAAAACAACCAATCAGAAGACGTGACTTCTGTGCTAACGATAACGCTAATAATACTGCACATAAAAATCTTTGAGTACCTCCTGATTTTCTCAATAAACGATCTGTCGCCTGGCCCTTGTCTTCTGTCGTTACAACATAATCATATTCTGTTTTACTTTTGACAGAAGAATGTAATTTGACTATAATATGTGGTGTGCAGCTATTTAGTTATGTATTAATTCACATATCGGGATTGAAATAGCTATATAATATTAGTGAATGTGTTCGACAGGTCTGTTGATAAGATTTGGCCTTAAAATAGTGATCACCTTGTGATTGGATGACCTTGACTGACTGTAAAATTCCATTATCTCTCTATTACCTTGGTCTTGGTCCAGTCTTCAACCAACCAACCAATCAGAAAATTCTTTTCTGCGGACCTAACCGAATCGCCTACCTATCACAGAACAATATATATTTTTTTACTGCCCTGGGCAGATTGTAATGTGGTTAAAAATAAATATGAAGTGCCTTTATCCAAACAGAAAGTTCTACAGGCCACCAGTCTGTGCCATTTGGTGTTTGCTTGGTTAAGTGAGACAGATAGTACCAAGGTCGTGTAGGTATGTTTAGCATATATCAGTTGAGTTGCCCGTTGCTTCAGTGTTATTAAGCCCCACGCATAAATCCACTCGGTCATATCATCTGTCGGCTAAATCATAGTAAACCCAACCTACCCTCCTCACTGGATTTATTTCTGTCTAGGTGAGATTAAGGTGTGCGTCAACCAGACATGGAACTCCAGACCACGTGCATGATTGGCGAGTGTGATCAACTACTGGGTTATATAATACACAGTACTTTATTTTGTTATAAGATGCTGCGGTTTAATCGATACACTACAATTTCAGGCTTAATTAGAGAATCATTGAATACTGGATAACTGCCTCAATCCCAACAGAGGATGGGACCCAACTCCCTACAGATTATGAGGTGAAGCTTTTGACCAAGTTGGATTTCGCTCTAGTGACTTGACGGTAACGTGCTTGCCTCATAAACTTGTGAAGGCCCTGTGGGTTCGATTCATGGTAGGTTCTTGAGTGCGTACTACTGAAGAGTCCCAAACTAGGATGAAACGGGTATCGGTACCAGTTCGACACTAAATCTGCCCTAAAACCTGTCAAACTCTCTACATATCCAAATTTCTTAGTGTTAATTGATATTATTTTTCTAAAACAAGCAACAAAACGGTAATAAGACAGGATTTGAAGAATTCATCAAATTTTTATAGAACTACTGCTCAGCTGAATCCTGTACTTAAAGTGATATATATATATATATATACATACATAACATTAGCATTACACTGGGAGATATGTGGCATATGAGTATTATTATTAGTCCCTTGGGTTCCGAGTGGAACATACGGCTTCAACAAGACATCTCCACTTTGTTCTACTTGCTACTGTCCTCTTCAGCTGGTTAGTTCCACGATTGACCATAATCTTTTATCTCCTCATTCAACTCACACGATCTCCTCCATGTGTCACCCTCGCACTGATGACCCACTCGTCGCCGCTTCCCATTGGGATTCCACTTGAGCACTGATCTGCATTCCGCGTGATGTCATATGATGGCCTCGTCAGCGTATTCGCAATCCATCTCCATTTTTTTAAAACATATTCGTTGAGCAATCGGCTCTCGGTCGGTTTGTTCCACTGAAGAGTTTCTTGTTGCTGATTCTCTCTGGCCAGCCGACTGGCCATTTGATCTTCAGTATGGAGCCAGCCAGCGAAGGAGGCAGCTGTTGATAAGAGTCTGCAACCAGCTGTTGGAAATTCTTTTTCATGATGTGCGCGCCAAGTTTCTGACTGGTATTGAAGAACTGACGGAATTGACATTTGTATTGAAAATCCGAATCTTGTTGTTTATGCTAAGTGAGTGCAGAAGATTTCCAAACTCGTGACATTTTGATGAAGGCGTATCTTGTCTTTCCGATCCTGACTTTGATATCCTTATCCGTTCCGCCTGTAGTTAAAACGATGCTTCTCAGATAAGTGAAAGGGATAACCTCTGTTAAACCTCGCCTGTTGATGGTGATTGGTTGGTTATTTTCACCACCCCCGCCTTCTCTATGTTCACCTGCAGTCCTGTCTTCGTTGCCTGCTTCTTCAGCCAGTTTGTTGGTTTTCGCCTGTAAGTCTTCGAGTTTGCATGACACTAAACATAAATCATCCACGCGTGAAATCGAGATCTTCTAGAATCTTCTTATCGGTGGTCCAACGTATTCCTGTCTCCTTACTCCTCACCTATGAGTATAAATAAACAACATCGAATCAATCATGTAAAACAACAGGTGTGAATGTTTTTCAGGTCAGATTCATATAGATACATGAAAAGGAGTATGCGAGGTAAAAATCAAGGTACAAATGCATTACTTAAATAAGTAATTAGTTATCAGAGAAAGAACTTGAATATATCAAGAATTGCAAACTGAATAATAATAATGACAGTAAGGGACCAGTTAAGATAATGGTACTGACAAAGGACAGTTTTAAACGAGTCAAGAATAATCATAATAAAATGTGGAATAAAATATTAATATAATAATAAATTAATAAGTAAAAGATATGACCACGGTAGATTCAGATTGACCACCATTCCCTTCTGTAAACACAAGGACCAGGTTTGTAAACTCTCTTTTTTTGCCAAGCCTTTCCAACATCTCCCTATTTGCTTGTCTTCTGACAATAACGAATGATTCGATAGCGTCAAAATCATATCCATTGTCTGAAAAAGATGCTTCATTGTTGAACTTATAGGCATTTTGACTCCAACTTTTTTCAACCACTCAGGCGAACGCTCTATCATGCGAGTAAACAATCAATTGCCTTTCAGTGGGAGACGTGTTATGTATTTGACTCTACAAACACTGTCAACGAACTTAGCCCTAAGTTCCTATTGTCACGAAGACGCTTTAAACCGATAATGACTATGTACTTGTTTCACCTTTAAATCCAAAACACCAGTATTCCTTGAACAAATTTATATTGTTTGGCAATTAAAGTGAAGACAACTACAAAGTTTTTATTCGTGTTCTTTCTTCCGTCTTCCAACTTGCACGCGATCGTACCATTCGTGCCTTCGAGTTGCCCACCAATGGCTGCCAGTTCCAATAAACAAACGTTCAATGTTCACGTCCATTGACAAATACCAACCGTATTATTATGCTTAATAAGTTTATTTATTAAGCTATCGAAGACACTATGATTGTGTGTTTTTGGGCATCGCTTATATGTTACCATCGAATGCTTTTTCCAGAACCGACGAAAATGAATTGAAATTTGAGCCTCATATGTGATACAGCAGTTGAACAGCGTTCTTCAACATAATGAATGAATAAATGTGCTTCATTACGCATTACGCATCTCTTTTATATACATATGTGGTGAGATCTGGCTGCTAGCCAAAGTTGGTAGACAGTAATTTACGTCAATGTTTATGTCCCCAATATTGGTTGTGAGAAAAATGAGAACAAAGACGTTGCGTAGGCGGATATAGTTAGCATAGAAATGATCTGACATTCAAGAAATAGCCACAAAGATGAAAGATTAACTTTCAGTGAGAAACAACCAATCAGAAGATTGTGTTTGTCTGCTAACAATAATCTATAATAATGTACATGAAAATCTATAAATATGTGTTGATTTCCGTGATCTGTTGCCTGGCCCTTGTCTTCTGTTGTTATATTTGGTGTCGCTGCCTACCGACAAATGGAAAGCCTATGTCCTGCAGTTTTTGAT